CAGATCTTAAAGGAGAGCAGGGGTAGAGAGATATTACGCCTGAGAGTAAGGAGATAAGTTATATGAGTAAGAAGTCATGATTACGCTACCTGTTGGGAAGAGGATTCTCGGGTAATCCACTAAAAGTACAAATAGCACTAACGTTCGCACATTCCTCGTACCCTGAGCAGAATCTACGACACGCAGCACACACTTTAGATTTGATATGTATAATACAAGGTATATACAAATATAATATAGTAAGAATTATATATAATATATATATTATATATATATATAATAATGCACGTTATATTAGAGTGGGGCATTATAGGGCGCGTTAGATTAGCAGTATAAGGGGTACACGGGTGTATGCAGGTCAAAATGCCGCAGAGGTGACTGGATAATAATCATCTACCCACCGGGAACATCGCTATAACTTATTAAGTGGATCATGTACAGGAGATGCGAAACAACAAGCCGCATAATAAAATAATATAGTAGTGGGTACCCATAAGATAACCGTAACAGCTAAGAGAGTATAAGTAACCTGCTCGTACTAAGATCATGACGGCTGAACCCGATACAGTGCTTGATCACATGACTATATATAAAATATATATATTAATATATAAGTAACCGAGGTATAAATTATATATTCATTATAGTGAGCATGAGATCAATATTTATTAATAGTGGAGACATCACGTCTTACTAACTAATATGAGAGAGGATAGAGTAATGATGTACCCGATTCCGGAAAAAGATCTACTAGTTAACCACTTCGGAGAGACCTTTGAATGGTCGTAACCAAGATATGAAAGTCACATAAATTATATATATATATAATATATATATATATAATATAATGAGTATACTAATAACTTAGGGGAGTGAGGGCCTGTAGGAGAGAGACTTATTATAACGTACCATCGCACCTAAAAGTAGTATGAAGTATAAGATAAGAAATAGTCAGCATATAAATAAACGAAACTACCCAACAAGTATTTAGGGACGTATATATACATATATATTTATATATATATATATAAATATATAATAAATACATATTATAAACTATCTTATGCAGACTAATAGACTATCACGTCATTAGAGATGTTAGCCGACGAAGAAATCGCTAAAAGTAAGCGATCACACACTAACACTAGCTATGGCATGCCAACAAGTATAGGACCCACAGCGCTCTGCATTGAAACCGTAACTCCATCACCTTTTAAGACATGAGGGTATGTTAATACGACTGATTCATCAACAATGATAGTTTGAGGGGAATCTTAAATTACAGTGCAAAAATAGATCTAGAAAAGATGAGGACACGTACGCTATATAAATTACCGTGCTAACTATATACATATATGTGTGGTTGTATAGTAGTTCAGATGGAGTTGTAGCGTCTCACACGGTATTATAATTACTTTGACGTCTCACTAACTGGGGTAAGTGCGTGACACTACATAGGCTAAAGGGCTGGTAATATAACGGCAGTAGAATAGGTTATTAACACAAAGTAACTATACCCATTAAGATAGAAAAGAGATGCGACGTAGTCTACCCTTTCACCAAACATGAAATGCTTTTTCTTAATTAGAAAAATGTGGTTTTGAACTGAAACATAGTGTTGTTTTCATTGCTGAGTGCACTTCTGTTACATATTGCTTGTGCTTCTCAAGTCTGTTATGTACTTATTCTCACTGCTGTTTGTTTCCAGTGTTTGATCTTAGAGGTCGGGAGACACGAGGCATAGGCAACAGAGTCAGCATATTACTGATATTTCGTCTCCTGTAGATTTTATTTTTTTACTCAAAAGTAACTTCTTTAGAATGGTTGTTTTACTTTTTAGTAGAACAGTAAAGAACTTTTCTTTTATATGTGGTTTCCTTGTGTATTCACTGCTATATTTATGCACAGGGTAAGATCGTACACCAGGAGCGCATTGCAGGCATGGGCCATTTTACACTAGGGCGACAATGTGGAGCTGCCCTAAACCAGAATAAGACGCTGTACATTAATTAGACTATGAGGGATTATAAGATTGTTTGATATAACCGGCTGAGGATGCTAAAGAATGCCCACATCTTGTTGATATGAGAGAGAGGAGAGACATTATATTGACAGAGCACGAGCTGCGCTCACACACTACGTGGTAGAGTGCGAGCATAAAAACAAGTGTGAAGCCATCAGGAGGGGAGGCTATAACTTAATGCCAGACAGTGAGTAGACTGTGAGCGTCGCATTCAAATACCAGTAAAATGTGTGACCTCTGCAACTTAGTCTAATCACAGCACCATCTATGTATGGTGCTCCAGAAAAGAGAAGGGGTAATAGATATAGCAATAATGTAAACAGAAGAAGGACCTGTACACTGATTTCTTACCGATTTTGTTTTCTTAATGAGATAAGATTACGGGCAAGAGCAAAACTAGAAAAACTAAAGATAGGTAATAAACTGTGTGTCCAATAAGGAAATATTTAGCGAGATCTAGCTGTAAAAGATTAAGATCAATCGCATGTGAAAAACAAGCATACAAGACTGTGAAGGTGTAATTTGGTAAAGTTCCACACGAGATACTGATAAAAACTCGGAGGGATAAACACGACACATGCTATGCACAGTAAGGATAAGTTGATGCTTTACCTGGTGAAGAATTGACAGATTATTTATTCTCTGCTCTTGTTATACAGTTCAGAAGAATTGAGCTGACAAAGGTAGTGTTATTTAGTTATTCGAGATTAATCCGGAGAGATTTCAGAGTTACAGAGAATGGGACTTTCTAAAGGTGTAATGTCCAAACATATATAAGGAGACGATTGGAAAGGTGTAGGACTGAAGAGAGGACTGCATGAAAAGAATGTACAGCAACAAATAACGAAATGGGAGCCTCGATCAACTACGCACCATCAGGGCCGGACGCGGCCTATCATTATATCTGAATCCAGTGACACACCACGGGCACAGAGGCCATGCAGGAGAGCACACTATAACTAAGTATCGGATTTAAGAGCGTTTGAATGGCAGATTCATGGAAAAGTGATTTAGTGATATGTCTAGCTTTTATAGTAAAAATTCTTAACTGACAAACCGTCAGAAATTTCCCTTCTGCTCTGATAAATGCTTTTAATATTTTGTTCTCTCTCATTTACTATTACTATTTTGTTCAAAGTAAGATTTGTCACATTAACACAACTTTATAAATTAATGTACATATGAATAACTTCATGTGGCCTTAACAATATCATTATTGTAACTGTTAACCTGTTCACACATTTACCTGATGAAATGTTTGAAATAACGTATGATGAAAGATATGTGTACAGTACATGTGCACTAACATACATTGCATCCACTGTCGTCAGTTAATATTTGATATGTGTCATGTGTGACATACACATGCTGCACTGCTGCTGAAATGGAAGTCCACCTCATATATGAATAGCCTTCAAATGTATGTATGAAAAAATCCTGTCATACATCCCCCTATGCCTTGTATAAGTTATGAAAGGGAGCTATGAGTGAGGTGAAAAGTACCCAGACTTGTGTTTATTGTATTGTTCTTAAAAGACAAGAAGAAAAAAAAGTAAAAAATAATTTGATATTGTATTATGTATACACACATTGTTTTAACCTACAGAATACCATATTAATTTAAATGCTGTAAAAAAATGATCTGAAGATTTTAACCAGCTGCATCACAAATATAGAATAAAGTTACTTTGCTATGTTCTTATCATTTACTATTTACAATATTGAGCAACTTTAAACTAATAATTTGAGATTAAAATGTGTATTAAAAGAATTACAACTCCAAAAGTACCAGTTTTAGTAAGTGACATTTATGTACATTTTATTTCAAATGAATACATAATTTTATAATTACATAGAAGAAATGGATTAATGGTTACATGATTACTAAAGTAACATATTTATTGCTAATTCTTAACCAACATTAAGAACTAAATGAATACATAATTTTATAATTACATAAAGAAATGGTTAATGGTTACAAAGTGATCTAAATAACCAATATTTATAATTCTTAACCAACATAGCTAGTAAGGCATTTGAATTGCTGGCCTGCTAAGCTGCATTAATTAAGCTCGTGTGTGGGAAAAGGAAATAAGTACCTTATATATTTTCCCATTTTCCTTTGCATTTTGCATACCTATAACTCTATATTTTACCCATGAATAATGTATTTTAGCAGATTGCGAAGTACTATTCACCTAAACAGAGCAATATTGAAGCATAGGGCTTCTAAACTACTGAGACCTGAATACCTTTGCTATCTCCTATCATTTAATCCTTAGCCTTTATTTCCTATAGTTATACATCCTTAATCTGGTGCTCAAATAAGCCAAACCATGCTCATGGTACTTAAACACTATCTCTTACTGATGTTGGCAAACGGAATACAAAGGCTATTCAGGACTAACATAAAGCCAGCCTTTCATCCTTTCAACATGGCTCTCACACTTTAGGATATGCACAAAAGAAGGGTATCAAAAAGTGAAAGGTTGAGAAGAAAAGACCATGTAAAAGACAAGGGTGATCCTCTACATTGAGCCTCAGTCCCTGTCTCCCAAGCCCCCCAACAACAACAATAGGCATGGGGGTTGGGGGGAATGATAAAACATCTATACTATCTTAATGTATTATTCACTTACCTTAACATGTATTGACTTAGAGAGTGCTGTAAGGCTAAAGAACCAGAAGCACCAAAGAAGTACCTTTTCCTTCTTTTTTATCATAATGAAACTTACTACATCATCATCATACTCTTCAAACTGAAAAAAATAATTAAATTAATGTATTAGTAATGCAAGAGTTTTATATATACTTTAAAACGCCTTTCCTATGCTCTTCTACTTCCAACTTCCATGTTAAGTACAATATTGCACTGTTTCTCAAGACTAAATCATTTCATGTGGATCTATCACCTATTTTCTAAACAATTACCATGTTTCCATGGCACAAACCAACAATGTACAGATAATAAACAGCGTTCAGATGATTTACATTTTAATCATAATAATGAACTTGAAGGGTACACTGCAGAAATGGTCTTGTACAGAAACCCTGTATATAGAACACTTCTCTCAACAGGGATAACAGATACACTTGAGTACATTTAGCACAGAATCTGCAAGCTAAGACAATTTTACATTACACCAACCAAATGGGTCAAGTATCCAGACTATTTCTATGGAGTCACAAATATTTAATGCTAATACATCAACTCATCAGTGGTACTATCATATCTACAACAATCAAATGTCATTAATACAACATCTAAGTATGAAATTTCAACTAACATGATCTCGACTACATAATGACTTACTTTCTGCTAACGCTGCTTATGAGGAGTGATTCTCATGGACTGATGTAGGATATTATGAGTGAGATATAATTCTGAACTAAGTGGGATGGAGAAGTTGAGCAAACAAAGTTAGGTAGATTCTACCTACCACAACAGTAATTTATCAATTATGCTAAAACAAGAATGATTATAGTGATGCAGTGAAGGACACCTACAAATATATCTTATGCATTTTCTCTCAGTAATAAAATATTCAACACATGATACACTCTCTCCACTACAAACTTACACATGCAGCTAGATCTATAGAAAAGTGGACTTCGGACGTGCAAAATCCTTCAAGGATAGCAATGTTAATAACAAGCTGTTCTTTACAAAATTCTTCAGAAAATTTCACAATTCATTGGAAGTATTGAAACATGATTCTGTTGTAACCTCATACAATCCTCTCACTCAGCAATGTGTGTTTCCCTGGTATTACATGGTTAAAATAAGATAGAAAATTACTTTTATAGCACATTACCATTGTGTGTAGGTTAAAAGACTATTTTTTATTTTAATTAAACATAAAAATAATGATATGTATACAATATTTCTGTCTACACATAGTATAGGTGATATACCATCTGCTTTGTGGTGCCACATATTCAAATCAAGCTTATTACTGTGTCCTGTCCAGTTCCATTTCATACCCTAAGTCATTTAATGTGGTATTATGCTAACCTGTACACCCATGTAATCTTATCACTAGCCTTAGCTCACAATGATCCACCAAGAAATAGAGTAAAAAATGAAACTCATTCCAAACAGACTTCATTGTATTTTGACTTCAGTGATGCAAAATTCTCTTTTCATTACCTCTATATTACATACACTGAATGAATGTGCTAGGCACAATGGATACTGTACTGACATGTTCATGTAAATGAGAATATCTGTAATTCTAGTTCAATTGAAAAAAGATCAACATTATACCAAAGGATGAATGAAACTGTTCAAAATATAACACATCATAAAAAAAAAATTATATAATATTCTTTTTGAACATATGCTACATCCAAAACTAAAAAGGAGATAAAAAAACCTACCTCCCTATTTTGTTTTGTATCTCATTATATGCTGAAACAAATCTGATACTAAACACAATAAACTTAAAGAGTCTCTTGGGTAATGTCATAAAAATTGGGGATCTATTCATAAAAAAGAAAAGAAAAGAAAAGAAAGAGAAAAAAAGGAAGAAAAATAGCCATTTTTCTTTAAAGTGAAAGTGTAATTAAAAAGGTACAGCAGGCCCACCTACTTTGTGAAAATATGGCTGACACCCCACAGCACAAAGCATGTCATTCAAATACATGTTGTAAAGGTAATATAATTAATATCTGGATCAACTCTCACATTTCCTTCCCCCATATTTCCCAGCCATAATTCATTCTTTACATGTATATATATATATATTTCCTAGGTGAACAACAGACTGAAACAGGACTGTGAAGTGAGGGTCTAAGTGGACCAACAATGGGAGAATGCAAACTTGTCCAAAACATGACTACAAAGCAAGGTTGTGAGTTGGTGTATGTCTATGTCTCTCACCTCTATCCTATTAAAAAAAAAGACTTCTACTAACACTCAGGTACAGTATCTGATTAAACAGAAAGAGGTAAATAAAAAGAAGTGTATATAAAGGACTGGTAATTTCCTCTGACTTCTTTATTGCACGGCTATGATAAATTTGGAAATAGCAAATGAAAAAGTCCACAGCAAATTCACAGGAAAGTCATGAAACATCAAAAAATTCTATATGTAATTTTTCCTCAGAGGTGCTCATAAACTATAAAGATACAAGGTAGGTGGGCATACTGCATAAGGATTTGTGTACCTTTAATATGTTTGAATCTACTATAAATATTCCAGGTACAAAAAGAAACAACTGATAGGAATACAAAAATAATTCCAACAGAAATATTCTGCTAACAATGAACCAATCCCTATGCACTCTACAATCTGTTATTTTACAACATATCAAATAGCAATTCCATCTGTAAGAGGGAAACCTACTTTAAAATTCCCTATTACTCAATAGAAATAAATTAATTGTAGTGTGCAATTTATAAAATTGCAAAAAAACAACAAATCTTCAAACAGAAATAAGAAAAATGAAGCTGAGGCTTAACGGTACTTCATCTTTCTCTCTAATCTCCTCTGTTTCTTCTCAAGGTTCTTGTCTTGTGGTTCTTCAGGAGCTGGCTGGAAGAACCATGGGCCAAGGATATTTGTCCACAGCATTTGCATACCTCTGCAAGGAGCCTGAAAAGAAATAATAATACATATACTATGTCACATTCATTCATATGTCCAAGCTCTATACAATACCAATCCAGGATAAATGGATTTACAGGGATATATAAGAATATATGCTGAGGAATAGGAGAGACAGAGATCCAAAACTTGTATCCCATAACAGTGCATATGTAAAAATGCATATATAAACTTCAGTATCATTCAAAATCCTATCATCTAATTCTAGAGCAGCCTATGTTAGTTTAAGAATTTATGATTCACAATGGATTTCATTAGGTCAATAGTTCAATAATTCCAATGTATGAATAACAAACCATAACTAATACAATTTTTTTTTATTTGTAATAACTACTGAAATTTCTGTCCATCAATTCACAGCATATGGATAACCTTCACAAAAATACTGGTCCACATTCCATATTCTTTATACATCTGTCATTAAAATTTGGATCAACAAAGTACAGCATGCCTAAGACTTGGATTACTAGTAACAGTAGCACAAAGTTTAACAATTTGGATAAGGATGACAATAATGAGATGAGTGTATATGTATGTACATGCATATGTATCAATATGAGCATTTGTACATTTGTCTATCTGTTTATCTCTATGTGCACATATATAAATGCTACACACAAATGCATGCACATTGCAGTATATAAAGAGCATTCCCCATTATGTTATCATAAATAACTGTTATCACATACACCTCAAAAGCTAACATCCCTTGGTTAACACACATTTAAGTTTGCTGTTGCACATGAAATTTGGTGTATCTGTTGTTTGGATATTTCAGAATTGTGCACTTGGCAACATGCCAATTCTGACTGTTTACATTATTGACTGGTTGATGCTTCTGCTCTCACCACTGAATTAATTGTTTATTCCTAAAAAGACAGGCTAACATTAGCAACTGTTATGGGCGATGGATTAACTTTGGTGAGTTAAGTTGATCACTGACAACAAAACCTTTTTGGATGTTTGTAATTTGCAAAGGAAGCTAGTAATATCTCTGAGGGTAAATAGGTGAACTTGCTAACCATCCATGTCTTTATTCAACCTAAAAGTAACTTTTTCTCACTAAATTTTTCATTTATTGAGTCATTTCATGTTCTCAGAAAATTCAACAATCTTTTTGTTTTAAAGAAACTCTAAAATATGCTGCTGTTTTCTCTTGTCCATTTATCGCTTGTACTAGAGCATATTGGAGTAGTGTTTAGGAAAAAATATTAACAAAATGTGTGAGTAGCTAATCCAGTCCAAAAACACTTAAAATCATCCTCATTATTTCTCAAAATTTACTATGATGAATTTTTACCTTCACAAACTGGTGCACAATCAATCAGGTGCAATAGTAAAGGGTTAGGTGTGTGTGTATAATTATTCCTAGCATGAAGGATATATAAAAGGGACAGGAAAGGATAAGGCAATGAATTAGAAACTATGCCACTTATAAACAGTAGAGTCAAAAACAATATCAATACTCACCAGCAGCCAGAGCAACCAGAAGTATGGAGAAATGGTACTGAGTAAACATACACCGGATGTTAGGATTATGAGGTCTTTGACATGCCTGTAAAGAAAATTTGAACATTACCAGCATGTTGAAAAGGATTGCAAGCAAAAATCATCACGAGTCTTAACCTTTTCCCCCTATCTATTAAAACTATCTTTTGATTTCAGAATAGAATGGAAAATTCAGCTAATGTCTGAAAAAGTCCTGAGTGAGCAGAAGGCTAAAAACTTAAGATTGGAGGCCAAATCCGTTACATAATTTTCAGGCAAAGTCTTACAGACCTTGTTTTTCCATAGGTGTATGTATGAGCATGAGAATTTGTTTATGAATGTCCATTTAAATAAAAAATGTAATATAGATAACTAGAAATATATATTATATATATATATATATATATATATATATATATATATATATATATATATATATATATATATATATATATAGCATCACATGCAACAACCTCCCCTTGCATGCAAACAGATATTAGCATATGTAATAGGACCAAATCTAGTAATTTCTTCATTGTTTTAATCTTACAGGTCCATATAAAGTAATAGTGTTGCTGGGTATGTCCACTATCCACAATACTTTTATTTTCTTAATCCTTCAAAACTTAAATGGCTCAACAAGTAGTTAGACAACAAAAAGTCAATAAGCAAGCCTAAGTGCCCTCACCAGATTAACCTATTCCTTGAATTTTTGGGAAAAAATTTGTATTTTTTCCAAAAATATCATTTTTATTATAATTATCATCTTTACAACAATTGCTGCCATTAAGATTGGCTTAGTGATGTTTGTAGTACTAATATTAGTCTAGTTAAAAAATATAAAATCTTTCTGCATATAAAGGAAAATAATATACAGGTGATACCATCTAGGCCTGGTAGTTGACTACTTAACCCATTAGATCCAGTTGTGCCATTGAAATCAAGGTGCCGAAAACATTGGCAATAGGTTACATAAGTGGCTAACATCCCGGGCATGCGGCATGTACACCCATGAGCAGTGACAAGACTCTGTGTCTCCCCTTTGCAAAGTTATTTTGCGTAAACTCTTTTAGCGTTATCGCAATTTTCCAATGTCCATATTTGTCTTTTGATTTGCTTTATTCAGATGGTAATAGCTTATTTTCCTTGCCCAGACTCTATATCATCTCTCTATGTAGTAAATAACTCAGTGCAAGGGGAAAAAAAAGAAGAAGGAACATTTGGTTATTTTTGTCATATACCAATTCTTTTTTTTTTTTTTGTAATTTTCAATTTTATGTAATACAACCAGCACTACCTGTTACAGCGGCCAGGAATAGGGTGTGCAGTACAGAGATGGTGTCCTCCCTGGAGCCAGTGCTCTTCCAGTCACTGCTTATGCATGTTACATTCCACAGTTGTTTATTGATGGGAATGATGCTAAAGCCCAATTCTGAGCACCAAATGAGTCAAGTCACACTCCAAGACGATTGTGCACTTGTGGTGTGCCTTTGCTCATGATGGTAAGTTCGTGTCACCTGGGACGAGTCCATTTTGGCCAATGATGGCAAGTTCACGTCACCCGCGACGGATGTTTTTCAACAGGAACTGGAAAGTTCACCTCACCCGCCCCTCGACTCAAGTTTTTCTATGACAGGACTGCAATGACATCTGGATCCAATGGTTAATGACTAAGCACAACTGGAGCCAGCATTGCACTTCAACTGTGAGATAGATATTGAGCAATCTGGTGCTATCAGAGTTTTGGCTTGCAAGCTTGATCTATACCATGGTGTATAGGGCATGAAGTTATGATGTTTTACACACACACACACACACACACACACACACACACACACACACACACACACACACACACACACACACCACACACACACACACACACACCAAACAACAAACACACACACACACACACCACAAACACACACTAAAAAAAAACAACAACACACTAAAAAAAAAAACACACACACACACAACACACTAAAAAAAAAACACACACACACACACACACACACACACTACAAACACACAGACACTAAAAAAAACACACAACACACACTAAAAAAAAAACACACACACACACTAAAACACACACACACACTAAAACAAACACACCACAAAACACAACTACACAGCAAACACACCACACACACTAAAACAACACCACACACACAAAAACACACACACACAAACAAACACACACACACTACACACACACACTAAAACAACAACACAAACAAACACACACTATAACACACCACACACACACTAACAAACACACACACAAAACAAAAACACACACAAACAACACACACACACACACAACACACAAACCACACCACACACAACACACACACACACACACACACAAACACACACACACACACACACACACACACACACAGAGGAAATTATATATGTGAAGTGATACAAACATGCACTGATGTCTAATATGAAGACCTACATCACCATAGCATAGATAAGCAATCATGCTTGTATTCAAGGTGAAAGATATATGTCATGGAATAAATTGGTTAAGGTCTAAGGTGATGGAGGGTGTCCTTATAAGAAATTTAGCTTAAGGCTTGGGTGATGGGAATGACTCGCCATGAGTGAATGAAAGTCTTGGCGGAAGATTGAACTCAAGAGGGCATTTAGGTGGATCTTGCATTATTTTCAGCAGTAAATGAAAGTGGGATGTGTCATCCTTGAGCCATGGCTGGAAGAGTGCTTGCTCCAGGGAGGACACTATTTTCATGCTTAGGATAATATTCCTACCTTTCATGACTCGTGGCAACGAGTGTTACAGCAAATTGAATAGTACCAAATGTCTGTGCAACGGAAACTTTCATGGTGCAACATATCAAATGACAAATATATACTTTGGAAAATTACAAAAAAAGTAGAAAATGATTAAGCACAAAAAGATATTCAAATTACGAAGGGGAGGTGTGAAATCTTAATACCCCACACCATTGTTCATCTTGGCTGGGCCTACAAGTCATTCAAGTAAGCCTAATGTCCAGATTCGATGACTTAATCCAGTGAATTCAGAAAATGCTGATTTTCTTCTTAAATGAGAGACAGGGAAATTAAAAAAAAAAAAAAAATAAATAAATAAAAAATACTGACTTACTCTGCAATTCCACCCTCAATGTTCAAGTCACAGCCTTCATCAAGAATAGTACCAGACTGATCTTTCTTGACAAACGCCATGGATGCCATAAAGCGGTAGCTTCCTGTAAACACAACACCTGCCACTCCGAGCAATATCTGCAAAAGTTATGTTTTATGAGTATCACCATAAAGAGGTAGCTCCCTGTAAACACAACACCTGTCACTTTGAGTAATACCTGCAAAACTTATGTTATTTAAGTGTCTCCATGGGATTGACTGGCTAATATAGAATACCCTATAGCTTTGAAAGATGAATACCTATCATACAAGAGGATGAACAGACTATCAGAAAAAGTTTTCTCATTGAAAATAAAAAGAAAAGCTTCGAGGCCTCTTTTGATGAATTATTAAAGGTTAACTGAGCTGTCTCATACAGTTTTATTGCTGTATTTCATTAAAATATACAAACAGCAATATAATGACAATAAAAGCAAGGTGTCACATCACATTCAGATATCATAAATTTGTAAAATTACTGATATAATATAAGCAAGATTTATTGTAATATTTACCTTGACTTGTTATCATATATAGATTATCAAAAAAGGGAATGTAATGATATAAATGTTTATTATAATTAGCAGCATTGAATTTGAGATGTAGCAACGGAGCAAATCATAGACAAAAATCGCTAAGTCCTAGACCCTTTGTGAATTCTGTAAGATGCCCTGATTCTGTAGATTCACATGAACAATTATAGGAAAAGGCTATAAGAATGTCTTGTTGCTCGCAAAGATCAGCCAATGTAGGTTTGGAAAATGAATGTATCCAAATAATCTAAACCTCACCAGGTCGAAGGTTGGGAACTCAGAGAAGAACAGCATTCCAATGCCAAAGTAGATACCAGCAGTCCCAAGGATCATGTTCCGGTAGAAATTCAGGGTATCTGTGTTCTCCTGAATGATCTGTTTTTGGCCTTTTGTGCCTTGCTTTCCTCTTTGGACCTAAAAAAGTAATGAAAGTTAAGTGCTAATAACCACTGCAATGCTAAATAATATCAGTAGCAATATGAATAACAGCAAAAATATCAATAAAAATAGTAGTAGCATATTATCAGTAGTATCACTCATATTATCAAAACAAAACTTAATTGGATACATGTTTGTGGACTGGATTTGTGTAAAGTGTGAACAGGATATCATATAATGAGGTATTATAGGTTCTCCTTAAACTAAGTTATTTCATCAGTTTAGATAATTCTAAAGGGATTATTTTTGTGTATGGGCATTATCAATTACAAGGTAAACTGTACCAAGCATGAAACCAAAAGATTAACAATGTCTTAAACATCTTTTGTCAACAACAATTGTATCACAAGCTGAAAATAAATTGCTTAAAATAGAAACGATCTTGTTAGAATAAAAGTGGAGGATATTTGTCTGACTTTGCTGGAGCTGCTTTTGATCACTTAACACTGCCAATATTGGGTATGCTACAATATTTGCTTTATTTAAAATGGATGTGTCACAGTAAAATGGTCTCAGAATTAGATGATCTATTCAAGTACTGTTTACTTTGTGGGTGATGGTTGTCATGTCACTAAATCTACCTTTTAAAGACATATAAGCAAAATGCTATAATTTATTTGGTATTTGAATGAGGTTTCAAAAGTAATGGAAAGCATTTCAAATTAAGCTTTGATTCCTATTACAAGCACTTTGTTAACTTTTGCATTTCTATATGAACTTTCTCCATGCAAATAGTCTAACCCTCTAAGAGTGTGAAAATATGTTATGTTTACACTTACTTCTTTTCTTTCAATAAAAACAATCTAATAATATAGATGCTTTGTAGTACAAGGTCACTACTGGAATTAATAAAACAAAATGGTCCCCACTGTCTTCATGTATAAGGCATTCTGTATGTATGCAAAAAGTACAAATTTGATAGCAGGAAGAATAAAAATCATTGTCATTAAGACAAAAAGCAATCTACGGATAAAGTTTCTTTACTTTGGCTAGATGCCATGAGATGCTACCCAAAAGGAAAACTTGTCCAAAATTTGGTAATTCCTTACAGGACGGACGCACTTGCCAAAACAAAGTCCCCCAACTCCATGTCACAAAATTTATTAATTAAGATAAGTTACTGTGACTGGGTGACTGGGGGTCTCTGTACTCTAGTATCAGGAAATTGTGGGGTAAAATATGAACAATATACACAGAATAATTCATTATATTGTCTAATGCAGGGGGCAGTGTTCCCTGTGACCCCTCCCCATGAAGCTACCACCCCCAACCCGCCAGTATAACAAAGAAACCTCCATGTATCCATGGAAGGAGTGAGTGTCAGACAGACTCAGTATAGGGCCCTCCCACATGCAAGGTGTACAATCTGCTGTAAATACATGGAGGATTCTGTCTTCCAATGTGGTGGTTGAGAGCCGGTAGACCAGACTGTCGAGTATTTTTCTTGTGCGGGGAATTTTACATTTATTCATGCGTAAGAAACATCATTTTGTCCACATATGCTCAGATGGATCTGCGGACGGATGATGAAACAAGCGCGTGCAAAGATCAAAAGAATCTTATGCGCATCAGATGATTTAAAAAAGAACTAAGCGTGCGTGGCAAGTTAACTGAGAGCTACATTTGTCCGGACAGAATTTGACCAAATAATTTTTGTGCAGGGAACGCATTCCCCGCACAGACCAAACTCTACAGTCTGGGTGGTAGCCCCTCAGGAGCGGGTCACAATATATTATTCATATTTTCCCTGCAATATCCTTGATACTTTTCATGCTCTCCCCTGCTATCGGGGCCAAGATCATCGCAAATGGAAGGGTTCCCACAGCATAATTTTTATATACTTGGATAACACAGAGTGAGAAGAATACAATGATACCAAAATTGTTGCGACCAGTTATGCGTCCAGTCCAATGTTTACTTTCGTCATGAAAAGATGATGATGGACTTAGGCAAAATTTGGCCACACCTCCGTTCATTTACGTATAGCATCTTTGGGAAGCATTTGCACAAATATTGCCATAGAAGAAAAGTGTCTTGGTTTGTATCGGTCTATCGATTTATATAGGTTATATCTCCCAACTTAGGGACTACCTTATACTGCATATTGTCCCGTTATTCTTTTCTTGCGCAGAATATATCAAATGCCAGTGGGTGTAGCTTTCATTTTTTTTTTTTTATGACAGTGTTTTTACATTTTCCTGTACATGTGTACCAGCATATCTACAGTACTAACAGTCATATTCACAATGAATGTAAATCCCTCTGCGACGGGAATTTGCGAAGGCGATCTCATTGTTGTACCCACAGTCGAGGCAATGTGACAGAGGTCGACACTGACTGGCTCTCAGAACCTGACTGTCGAAAAGTCAGTTTCAGAGAGCCAATCAGCGCCGACCTCCGTCGGATTGCCTCGACTGTGGGTACAACAATGTGATTGCCTTCACAAACTGCCGTTGCACACAGAGGGATTCGTATTGATTGTAAACATGTCTGTAAGTCTCTTCCTGACAAAAAAGAACTCTAAAATTAGCCAAACCTAGGACAAGCTTTAGTCTTGTATGGTTAATGTAAATCAGAAAAATGCTTTTCTACACGATCATTCCTAAACTATATCAAAGAACCTAAATAAAACAAAGAAAAATTACATATACTGACAAGAAAGTATAATAGTAATGTGATTGTACTTTTATGGAAATCAAGCAGGATCCAATGAACGGCGTCCCTTTATGTCCCATTTATCGCATAAATAACCACCAAAATACACGAGATAAATCGAAATACGACTTAAAACTATTAATGAGGCAAGAGAGACTGCATTTAAGGCAGCAGAAAGGCATTAATTGAGTAAAACCGGGAGGAAAACTCACCACCATCTTGCCGACTCCGGAGTTTTCAAAGGACTTTATTCCTGTAAATTAAATACGAAATAAAGATCTGGTATATTTTGATCAGGAGTTCCCACGAAATTCAATGTTTTATTTTTGGAAATGATATTTATGTGTATCTATAGAATTACAATGATACCACAAATATTTACATTGCAAGATTTCACGATTAGACGAGTCGGAAATATGATTCTGTGACAACACGGCGGCTGTCAATACTAGATAAATAGAGATTCGAAGAAAACTGTATTCTGACATTAAAACAATTTACTTTTATATAATGAAAAACTATAAATACATAATGTGTTTGAAAATAATAAATATAAATTCAATATGAATTAACGAGATCAGATTTCAAAAAAAAGAAATCTAAATATCTATTACAGGTAAAGGTATATTATGTGACA